AATTCTTGCTGAATAGAAGTATTCATTTCTGTCAAAAGAAAAAAAATCTTGTGAACACAGGAAAGAAAATTGTCCAGCTATCTCATGGGGTCTACATAATGCACCTTTTACTGGCAGTGTTTGTTCTGTTGCGTGACACAAACAAGCAGCATTTACCGAAAGCTTCCCTGGATAGCGAGCTCAGATCAGATGCTGCCGTCTAATGCTGTTTGTGGTCTGTTCTTCAGAGTTTTCAGATCGTGAGGCCCAGACAGGGCGTGACGCGAGTGAGCGATCTATCGTCTGAGGACATCAAGAAGATCGGCTACATCTCCCTGATCGAGCTGACCACATTCTACGACTTCATGGGCATCGAGATGAAGAGGAACCGCGTGGTGCGCAGTAAAGCACGGGGTGCGTGTCGCTCACATCCAGACTCTGCGGAAAACTGGTTCTGTTCCCACAAACAGCAGAATACTATTACTACTGTAAATATCCAAAACATGGTGTCACCACAGTAAATGTCTACAACAACCGTAGTATTACCGTAGTAAATATCCCAAAACATGGTGTCACCACAGTAAATGTCTACAACAACCGTAGTATTACCGTAGTAAATATCCCAAAACATGATTTTACCATTGTAATGTCCATAAAAGATGAGGACACCATAGGAAATTTGTAAAAAACATGGTGTTGCCATTGTCAATATCCAGAAAACATGGTATTACCATAGTAAATGTCCAAAAATTATTGTGTTTCCATAGTAAATGTTTATAAACATGGTGTTACCATAGTAAATGTGAGTCATATTAACACTCAGAAACCAAGTAAAACTGGCTGTAAACGCTGTCGTTTTGTTCCCACAGACAGCGGCATATTTGGCGTTCCTCTCACTACATTGCTGGAAAACGACCAGAAAAAATACCCCGGTTCCAGAGTTCCTCTGGTTTTCAAGAAGGTACGTTCATCTTTCCTTCTTTGGTTGTTAGAAACGAGGCTGGAATGTTGTGATCGAGATTGCGAGTGCTGGCTTTTCTGGAAAGTTCCCAGTCAGCACTTCTCAGGGCTCAGATACTCGTCCCTCCCGCATCCTTGGACGGAGCCGCGGTGCACTATCTCACATTATCCTGACCCGACGGCCCACGCTCGTCTCCGTTACAGAGGATTTCCAAAAAAACAAAGGCGGTGGCCAGAAGTGCTCTGGGTTGTTTTACGTGCCTGCGTTGACCTCGATGCCTCTGTTTTTAAGTGGAATGATGGAGGCCGGTTATTGTTTCACTGGAGAGAGACTTACTGAGGAAACACTTAGAAACAGAGACGGAGGATTAGTATAGATGCTTTAATAAACCTTCAGCAGTGAATCCGCTCACCCTCAGATTCTTCCAGCATTGCAACACCGTCAGTATTTGTGTTGGGTAACTCCAGAGCCGACGGGAAGATACGGAGACCCCCAGCTGGTAGAAACCCCCCACACACAGCTGCGTTCTGAACTGAGTCTGACGCTCTTATCAATGACTGATAAAGACTCTGTGTGTCTGAATGAGCTGGAATCTCAATCATCTCTTTCAGAAAACAACAGCACACAGACAGACCATTGTAAATATCCAAAAAACATGGTGTTACTGTAGTAAATGTCCAGAAGACATGGTGTTGCCGCAGTAAATTTCCAGACATAATCAATCTTGCCATTGTGAATATCCACAAAACATGGTGTTACTTTAGTAAATATCCAAAAAACATGGTGTTACCATAGTAAATGTCCAGAAAACATGTTACCATAGTAAATATCCAAACAACATAGCGTTACCATTGTAAATGTCCACAAAACATGGTGTTAGCGTAGTGAATATACAAAAAAACATGGTGTTACTGTAGTAAATGTCCACAAAACATGGTGTTAGCGTAGTGAATATACAAAAAAACATGGTGTTACTGTAGTAAATGTCCACAAAACATGGTGTTAGCGTAGTGAATATACAAAAAAACATGGTGTTACTGTAGTAAATGTCCACAAAACATGGTGTTACCTTAGTCAATATCCAAAAAACATGGTGTTACCATAGTAAATTTCCAGAAAACATGGTGTTACTGCGGTAAATGTCCAAAAAACATGGTATTGCCGTACAAAACATCTAGAAAACATGTTGCCATTGTGAATACCAAGAATACATGGTGTTCTTAGTAAATGTCCAGAAAACATGGTTTTACCATAGTAAAAGCCATGCTAATACCCAGCACGTGTGTTTTTGAATCTCGTGTGATGATGGTGTTTGTGTTTTCAGTTGTTGTCTAAACTGGAGCAGACGGGCTTACAGACGGAGGGGATTCTCAGGGTTCCGGGATCAGCGTCCAGAGTGAAGGTAAATAGATCCAGATCTACAGCATCATTCACACAGCAGAGATCAGCGTGATCAACACGGCCTGCTCCAGGATTTGTGCTGTTGGCGAGTTTTGTGACTGTGACACATCCGTAAAGCATCTGACCTGGATTTCTCCCACTGATTCCAGCTTTAATTCCACAGTCCTCCGCGTTATTCATCCATGAGTGATGAACAACAGCTCCGGATGAGAGCAATGAAGTTACAGTCGAATCACACTCATATTGTGCGAGACGTGCTGGTGCTAAAAGAGAGTTAATAACACTTCATTATAATTGAGGGGAAGCTGGTGCTCATGATGTTGGTTTCTGTGTTTGTCGTCCTCAGCATCTGCGTCAGGAGCTGGAGCTGAAGTTCTACGAGGATCATTTCGACTGGGATCAGGTGCGTCAGAACGACGCGGCGGGTTTGTTGAAGATGTTCATCCGCGAGCTGCCGTATCCTCTGCTGACCCAACAGCACCTGCCGGCGTTCACAGCCGCTCAGAGTGAGTCTGAACATCCATATCTGCGTCTCTTCACTGACTGCTCAGAGTCACGTCTCTCATCTCTCCGTCTGTCAGGTATCTCATCACCCAAACATCAGATTCAGGCTCTTCATCTTCTCATCATGCTGCTTCCTGAAGCCAACAGAGACACACTGAAGGTCTGTTCATCTCATCACGCGCTCAAACGCTTCCTGAAGATGATCTGATGTGACTAAATAACTTCTTTAAGGCAGCAGTTCTCAAGCTTCTCTAAGACAATATCTGAACACCCTCCGAGATATTTCAAGTGGTGATGTATTAAATTAAATACATAAAATTATGATAAATAATTAGAATAATTAAATTTCATAATTCTAGTAACTGTATATTTTTTACAGAAAGGGTTATTATAGTTAACTAATACTCGAACCATAAAAAATTCCGTTACTTGAAGAAAAAAAAAGGTAATTGAAATAAAATATAAATAAATTACACTTATTTTGAGCTAGTTGCCAAAGCATCAATTTTAGTTTTCATTTAGTTACTTGATGTACTAAAATAACTAAAACTGAATTAGAATTATATTGACATAAAAAAACGTGACAAAACAACAAAATTAATAAAGAATTTAAATTAAGTTAGAATTAAAATTAAAACAGAAAATGCAAAAAATAAAACTAATTTAACATTAAACTATAATAGTATCTCAGTGATACTAAAACAACAGGTTCACCATTTTTACTTTTCATTATCAATGATTAACTTTTTTAGTTTGTGAGATTACAGGTGTTTAAAATGACTTTTTCGCTCACAAACAGCCATTTTGACTCAATAAAATATTATAGAGCTTGACAAAATGTGTGTATATATCTTATCTACATTGTTCAAGATCGTGAGAACCTGGTTCTTAAGCGAAAATTAATTAAATGATGATAAACAAGATATATGATTTTGGCTCGCATCGTTTTAGTCTCTTTAAATCTTGCTTTAAGTCATTTTAAGCCATCTTTTGGCCCCCTTGGAAGTGCACTGAGGGCCCATGTGGGTCCCGGACCCCCGCTTGAGAAAAATGTGTCCTCAGAGATGAGCTAAATCTGACAATCTGAGGATGTCCTCGTCTGAAATGCAGGTGGTTTTCTGTGCTTATAGTATTTATAATTGCCTGTGTATGGAATGTCTCTATTTAGATAGTTGAGTAAACATGTGTGGGTGAAGTATTCAAAGGAAGTAGATGAACCGGTCGGACAAATCTGTGATGACACTCGCAGTCTCTCCGGTGCCAGAATACAGAGAATCAGGCCGGTTTGACGTCATGCGTTTGGTGCCCATATTCTCATGTGCTGATTCAGTTTAATCTGTGTGCTGAAATCAGCTGAAAATGCAGTGCAGAGCGTGACGCCAGCAACGCCAAGGTCACGGGTTCGACTCCCAAGGAACAAATAAGCCTCGAATACAACGAGAGTCGAATGAATGCGTGTAAATGTGACGGGTTCCAGTGAAGTCACACGGCACTACCTGTTTGGATCCTCTCTAGTGATATAAAACCGGCCCGCAGGGCATCGGTGGCTGATGTTTGCCGTTTGTTGACTGCACGGTGTTTGTTCTCAGGCTCTTCTGGAGTTCCTCAGAAAGGTGGTGGCGTACGAGGAGAAGAACCGCATGAGTCTGTGGAACGTCTCCATGATCGTCGCGCCGAACCTCTTCACGTTTCGCGGGAAGAACGTCAGACAGGAGGAGATGCAGGGTGCGGTCGCTGCGGCCCAGCTCGTGCGTCTCCTCATTACCCATCAGGACCTGCTGTGGACGGTGAGCACCTGCAACATCAGCATCAGCGACTCCAGTGCTCATGAATATTAATGAGGTGTCTTGGCTGATTGGCTGACATTGGTAAACGTTCACTGGAGGATCATCACAGACCGGTGAAGTCGGTGTTTTCCGCGTCTTTGGGACTGACATCTGCTCTTTACTAAAATAACTCAATCTTAATCAAATATATTTAAAAAAATAACTAAATATTAAAATAATCATTTAACCCCTTAACTGTCACCGTCCTGCTAGTTTTCTTCACTATATTACAATTAAATCCTAATCTAATCATGACAAACTATGTATCGTTGGAAAGGTCCAAGACTCCTAAATTGATGTTTTACCACTGTTTGCTGTTAAAAAATGATGTAGGAGCAGTAATAGATTAATTTATGACAAGAGTGCACCTCAAAACATATACATCATAACAGGAGCTTTCCTTTTTTTCTGCTGATCAGATCCCCCGTCACGTCAGCTGCACTCACATCAGTGCCGTTATCGTTAATAACTAATGAACAACAGGCTCATGGTGAGTGCACAGGATTATGCGAGCCGTACCTGGGTATCCGCCCACATAGATGGGGTTTTTGGTCTCGGCTGAGGTGGAGGATGAGTACGGGTTCTCCGCGGTCACCGTCACACCGTCTACGGTCAGACTCAAGCTGTGCTTCTGCTTCTTGGCCATCAGGGTGCGCCAGCGGCCGTCACACATGGACACAGCGCTCCTGCTGCGCGCAGTGATCCGGCCCGCGCCGTTATTCACGTTAAACACCACCTGTGACGAGACGAGCGCGCTATTAACCTTCAGCACACACTGGAAATCACACGAGGAGCTCCAGGAAATAACAGCCAATGATCAAAACAAAGAGGGGAGGTAAATGTGTGATTGGACCAGAGAGATTATCGTTAACTAAACTAAAACCATAAAAAAAAAAAAAATCATAACTTAAAAAAATTAAAGAAACAAAGATATTAAAAACGGGAAATTTTATTTCAGCTATTTTTCGTGTTTTTTTTGTTTAAGTTGACATACTAAAATAACAAACAAATTAATAAAAAAAATAAAAATAATATATAGAAAAATTGCATCAAAGAACAAACTAAAACTAGTAAATAAAAATGAATAAATACTATATAGACAAACAGCATAAAAACAAAATGCATATAATAAACTGAATTTTTTTTTTATAAATACTATATAGAAAAAATTTTATAAAATAAAAAAAATAAAAATAATAAATTAAATACTAATACTATATAAACTAAATTGCACAAAACTCAAATGCATAAAACAAAACTAAAAAACTAATAAATAAAATTTAATAAATATATAGATAAATGTAAAAAAGACAATTACTAAATCTTTAAAATTAAAATTAAAACAGAATGTATACACACACAGACACAGACACACTCTCTCTCACACACAGACACACACACACACACAGAGACACAGACACACACTCTCTCTCACACACACTCACACACACACACAGACACAGACACACTCTCTCTCACACACAGACACACACACACACACA